AATAATAATAATGAGGATAATAATAATAATAATAATAATAATAATAATAATAATAATAATAATAATAATAATAATGAATAATAATTAATAATAATAATAATAATAATAATAATAATAATAATAATAATAATAATAATAATAATAATGAATAATAATGAATAATAATAATGACTTTATTTAAAGAGGGTGACACAATTAGCTGCATTGATCTAATCCTCCTTGTGGTCCACTATTATATGGCTATCTTTTAATATATATTGTACACATTAGCAAATACAATAAATATTTTTTTAAAAAGTTTTAATTAATATTAGCTATATTTATTCCAGAATAAACAGAAAATGTTATAAGGACAATGCTCCAAGAAGATACACTGTGTATATATGGTACAAAAATAGACAACAAAGTGGATGGTTTGAAAATACATGCTTTAAGTTATAATGTATTTGTCAAAATCAAACTGGTTCCACTTTCTATTTCCTGCATTAAATAAATGCATTTATATTTTAACTTTCTTTAATTTCTGTTCCCAATTAGTGACCTAAAATATTGACAATTTTTTTAAAACATGTTTAGACAATTTTTTTTAAACATTATTAAGAGTTTTGTTTTAGAATGGAAAAATGGCAAGCTGAAACTTAAATTGGGAGTGCTTTAATATTTTCTAGCATGAAATAGTTTCTCAAGATATAATGGGGCAATATTGTTTGAAACTTTAAATTTAGCCTTTGACAAAAATATTTCTTCACTTACTGTTAATAGGATGTTTTCAGTGTTATCTAGGACAAATAAGCAAGTTCTTAGTGTTTCTCTATATAACATTAGTGTTTCTCTATATAACATTCCAGCTAAGTGAGATGTGGTTGTATACATAGCACAGTATATCTAGGTATGATTATATATTTTGTAATATATATGTTTTGCTGATAGATTATAATGGCTTTATCTTTCTTAATAACCAGAGACAATTAACCAACTTAATTCAACATATGGCTTGAATATATTCAGTCCATTACAAATTGCTGTCAACCATCACCCCAAGTATTTTCTCACAAGTAACCATGTATAGATAAACTTCATTCAAAATAGGATTCAAATTGCTATTTTCCAACTTGGGGGGGGGGATAGTGACATAAATACTTTAGTCTTGCTTGTGTTTAATTTACTTTCATGTCAACATTTTCAGTAAAGTCTTTGGTCTACACATGCATATATATAGAGCATGCTATTCTATTATTGGAGAAAACTGATGCTCTTCAGAGTTGAATATTTTTAAGTCACAAGACGTATTTTATACAACTGGACATCTGAACCACATATTTCATAGTTATTCTGGTGTTGCAATGGAGTGGCAAGATAATTAGTAGTGATCATTTTGGTACTGTTGTGGCTGATGTACTCAGCTTATGATGTAGTTCAAGATACAGTTATTACATGTTTCTTTTTCTTTGTGATGTCTAGAGACAAGGATGAAGTCCTGACACTGAGGCTAATTCAGGTTTTGGTCCAGAAGATATAGCTGCTCTCTGTGAGGCCGAGGCATCTTCCTCCAAGGTGAGAGGAGTTATGAAGCTGTAAAAAAAACTCCCCCCAAAAATAACAAAAAAAACTTAAGTCTGTTGTGACTAAGATTCAAAAGTCAACAAAATCAAAGCCTGATAAATATGGCAGCCACAAAAGACAAGGGTCAGTCAAATAAATCCACTAGTCTCGATCTCTCTGAAAAGACTAAGTTGTAGAGCTTAAATTGTGCTTCCATGAAATGTCTCCAGATATGGCTGATGAATACGAAACTGGAGTGTATCAGAATTACATGCAGAGGTTAAAAATGATGGGCCACACTGAATACTGCAGCATGAAGCTGATCAATGAAGAATTTTGAGCAAATTTTTGTAAATGGCAAAATAAATGGGACACTGTCTGAAGGTTTAAGACCAGATAACAATGTTCCTTTTACAACCACTTATGATAGCATGTGGCAGCTGCCCAAACTGAATACTTCCCCAAAAGGAAAGCCCATTTCCAAATCTTTGTCGGAGTTGATAAATGCCACATATACTTTATGCTGTACATCAGATGTGATTGTACAGGATCCTGAAAATGTGTCCAGCTGCTAATTAATCACAAGCTCCTTCTTATGACAACGACTACTGCAGGGATGTACAGCACCTTGTCAGGTATTATGTTCCCTATTAAATTAACAGACTTGCTAAAGCCACAGATAACCACCAAGGTTGAAACAATAAGCATCATTCCAATGCTGCTACTCTCATGGCGAAAGTGCACTTGGCATTTATTTTTTATGCATTATTTTAATACTGTATTAGAGGCTCCTACCAATGGTATATTGATTTCTAATTAAAATTGAATGGTGATGGTCACTTTTATGCAAGAATTATGAATTAAACAACTAAATCTTCATGTTTCACAAAATATGTAGAATATTTGTGCTTATTTCATCTCAAAGAATTGTCTTTTTTGCTTTTGTGGTAGACTCTGTGCAGTTTAAAGTTACTGAAGAAAAAGTGCAAAAAATTTCATAAGAAACATTTTCAAAATGCACTAAAAGTACAAGAAGATGGATCTTTTATTGGTGTGTGCATGTGAAAGCCCTCATGCACAACTGAAGTATGGAACATGGTAAAATTCTGGGACCTTGTAAAAGCAAAGTTTCACTAATAAATTACAAATACTTATTCCATAAATTGGAAGGTGGTACCAAAATGCTAAGAATGAAAAATGGATCAATCAGAAGGTTAGTTTAGTATTCAATGTAATGAATCACCTTCTGGCTTGCAAGCTTATGAGGTTTGTTCAGAATGGTCAATCTTTAGTGTGGAAAACAACATGGGGTTCCCTAGTGGCCGAGTGGTATAAAGTGCACACCATTATGAATCATTACTATGTCACTTGTCTGCATAAATTTGAGTCTAGGGTTCGGCCATTTGTGGTTATGTTTAAAAGCTTGACAGTAGCTTCTCGATGGTCTATGGATCTTTTGAGTGTTTTCCTGGGTTCCTTTTTTACCATTTATACTGGCTGCCAGGTATAGCCTATCATGTACTGAAAAATGGCATTAAACCCAGGAAAAGAACAAGCAAACAACAACCTAGACTTGTTAGCAATTTTATTATTCCTAACCAGCTTTTGATTCAGATTACATTATATAAGTAACACATTGAGATTAAATTTTAAATGTGTTATCTAATATATTAATGTAATGGGTGAAGTGCAACTGTTCAGTTTTATTAGCAAACTAAGAAGATTGCAAGAATTGTTTGGAAAGGGACACATTTAAATCACTAGTCCATACTTCTGGTAAACATACTACCAGGCATAGTTTCTTTCCAGAAAAATTTGAAGACTCCGCAAAAGAGATGCTAACAAGATACATTTTTCAAAGATTGAGAACACATATTTTTGTTCTTGATATATATTTATTTGCATCCATATTTAACCATCCACTAAAAAAGTGTGAATCATGGTTTCCAGAACCATGTGCTTTCCAAAAATTATGCTATTTTCTTTCTTGCAACTCAGTCCCAAATATTTGTCACCCTTTTCTCTTTCAGAAAATAGATGAACTGAATAAAATAGTTGCTGATAATGTTAGTAAATCAATTTTTTAAATTCCCAGTGATATGTCATGTTAGAATTCCCCTTCCGTTTCATTTTCAAGGCACAAAATACCTACTGACTTTCACACAATGGTCAACTTCATCCTCGATAAAAGGAAGACCTGAAGTCAGTGATTTTATCAGGAGATTGCACCAAAACTAAGAAATTCATGGAACTGCTGTACATATCATTACCAATTCATAGAACTGCTGTACATATCATTACCAATTCATGGAACTGCTGTACACATCATTACCAATTCATGGAACTGCTGTACATATCATTACCAATTCATGGAACTGCTGTACACATCATTACCAATTCATGGAGACCAAGAACAAATAAACAGTACAATGGCATGGAAAAAATGAATCAGGAAATGAATCCCTTTGGGATCATACATAGATTTCTTTTTGTAAATATATGGAAGTATTAGTGTTTTCAACATTCCCCAGGTAATGTTACTTCAGATACTGAGAGTGTTGGGAATGACTGTTGCATCAATCATTCATTTGCCTATGCTTTTGATGTGGTTGTACAGGTACAATAGAGTCACAGGGACAAATGGAAAAGTAAATCTTTACTACAGGACGACCTTGAGAGTTAATTTAATATTTTAGAATCTTGATTTTTGTTAAACATTTCAACCATCCTGAGTAAATTAATCCAATACAGTATTGAACTAAATGCATGTATATGTCAACATGACTGTCTGTATCAACTTTAGAGTGAGGTCAATTACAGCCATCCTAACAACACCAACTTCCTTGGCCTGATTACATCCTGTTTATAACACTGAAGCTTCCCAAATTAATATAGCCAGGTTCACTAAACCCGTCTAACTTAAAATTAAGAGAGAAGAATACTCAAATTATTTACACCCAGCAATGTTCATCATGAAATTATCAGATGATTAGTTCATGGTATTTAAAATGAAAAAAGCAAATGGTTAGCAAACTAGTATTCTCATCATATTATGCAGTTACATTTTATGATCTCGTGTTTACAGGAGATTCAAATGGAATTTTTCAATGGATAAGGTCTTTTTTTTAAAACATTTGACCTATAGTATACACTTGCTGTTGAGTCCAACTGTGAACTGCCCAGATCTGCCATTGCGTGTGTGTGTGTGTGTGTGTGTGTATGTGTGTGTGTTGGATCTTTTTACTTAGCTTTAACAATTTTCAGTCATATCACTATCATGTTTGCAGTATAGGGTTTATAGTGATGTCTAACACTGGGGCATCAAGCCACAAACATCAGTATTATGTCACACCCAGTCACATAATCATTACACCAAGCTAACCAGTTCCAACACCAACCTCTAAATGCTGAGTGACAAGTGAGGCAGCTGTTAGTACCATTTTTATAAGTCTCTGGTATGACTCGGCCAGGATTTTAACCTGTCACCTCCCACATCCAAGGAGGATAACCTAACCACTAAGCCACCAGAGCAGTTTCACACTGCACTGGCAGATTAGGGTCTGTGCAGTTTGTTACAAGTAATCAGCATATCAAACAACATAGACCCTGATCTGCAAGAGCATTATGCAATGGGAGATCCGGATCTTTGTTTCTCACAATTTGACTTAACTTATAAATGAGTGTGTATGGTATTTCTTACATTTAGTTTTTTTTAAATACTTTACTTTCACAAAATGAAAAAAATTAAGTCTTTTTATGCATGTAATAAGCTTAAAGTAACATGTTTCAAACATTGCAAATACTTTACTATCAAATTTTTTTTTACAAATTCAAGTTTTTTCCTGCCTGTAATAAGCTTAAATCAACATGTGCAAGACTCTTCATGCCTGTAATAAGCTTAAATCAACATGTGCATGACTTTTTATGCCTGTAATAAGCTTAAATCAACATGTGCAAGACTTTTCCTGCCTGTAATAAGCTTAAATCAACATGTGCATGACTTTTTATGCCTGTAATAAGCTTAAATCAACATGTGCAAATCTTTTCATGCCTGTAATAAGCTTAAATCAACATGTGCAAGTCTGTTCATGCCTGTAATAAGCTTAAATCAACATGTGCAAGACTTTTCATGCCTGTAATAAGCCTGAATCAACATGTGCAAGTCTTCATGCCTGTAATAAGCTTAAATCAACATGTGCAAGTTTTTTCATGCCTGTAATAAGCTTAAATCAACATGTGCAAGACGTTTCATGCCTGTAATAAGCTTAAATCAACATGTGCAAGACTTCATGCCTGTAATAAGCTTAAATCAACATGTGCAAGACTTCATGCCTGTAATAAGCTTAAATCAACATGTGCAAGTCTGTTCATGCCTGTAATAAGCTTAAATCAACATGTGCAAGACTTCATGCCTGTAATAAGCTTAAATCAACATGTGCAAGTCTGTTCATGCCTGTAATAAGCTTAAATCAACATGTGCAAATCTTTTCATGCCTGTAATAAGCTTAAATCAACATGTGCAAGACTTTTCATGCCTGTAATAAGCTTAAATCAACATGTGCAAGACTTTTCATGCCTGTAATAAGCTTAAATCAACATGTGCAAGACTTTTCATGCCTGTAATAAGCTTAAATCAACATGTGCAAGACTTTTCATGCCTGTAATAAGCTTAAATCAACATGTGCAAGACTTCATGCCTGTAATAAGCTTAAATCAACATGTGCAAGACTTTTCATGCCTGTAATAAGCTTAAATCAACATGTGCAAGTCTGTTCATGCCTGTAATAAGCTTAAATCAACATGTGCAAATCTTTTCATGCCTGTAATAAGCTTAAATCAACATGTGCATGACTTTTCATGCCTGTAATAAGCTTAAATCAACATGTGCAAGTCTGTTCATGCCTGTAATAAGCTTAAATCAACATGTGCAAGACTTTTCATGCCTGTAATAAGCTTAAATCAACATGTGCAAGACTCTTCATGCCTGTAATAAGCTTAAATCAACATGTGCAAGACTTCATGCCTGTAATAAGCTTAAATCAACATGTGCAAGACTCTTCATGCCTGTAATAAGCTTAAATCAACATGTGCAAGACTTTTTATGCCTGTAATAAGCTTAAATCAACATGTGCAAGACTCTTCATGCCTGTAATAAGCTTAAATCAACATGTGCAAGTCTGTTCATGCCTGTAATAAGCTTAAATCAACATGTGCAAGACTCTTCATGCCTGTAATAAGCTTAAATCAACATGTGCATGACTTTTTATGCCTGTAATAAGCTTAAATCAACATGTGCAAGTCTGTTCATGCCTGTAATAAGCTTAAATCAACATGTGCAAGACTCTTCATGCCTGTAATAAGCTTAAATCAACATGTGCATAGCTAAATCAACATGTGCAAGACTCTTCATGCCTGTAATAAGCTTAAATCAACATGTGCATGACTTTTTATGCCTGTAATAAGCTTAAATCAACATGTGCAAGTCTGTTCATGCCTGTAATAAGCTTAAATCAACATGTGCAAGACTCTTCATGCCTGTAATAAGCTTAAATCAACATGTGCAAGACTTCATGCCTGTAATAAGCTTAAATCAACATGTGCAAGACTCTTCATGCCTGTAATAAGCTTAAATCAACATGTGCAAGACTTTTTATGCCTGTAATAAGCTTAAATCAACATGTGCAAGACTTCATGCCTGTAATAAGCTTAAATCAACATGTGCAAGTCTGTTCATGCCTGTAATAAGCTTAAATCAACATGTGCAAGACTTTTCATGCCTGTAATAAGCTTAAATCAACATGTGCAAGACTTCATGCCTGTAATAAGCTTAAATCAACATGTGCAAAACATGAATAACAATTAAGCCAAGACTCTTCAGACTAAAAAAAGTCTTAAAGTTCTGAAACTTAATCAGTCTCTCGAAAAATTGATCAACATGCTTCCTGAATAAGACTGTACAAAGGCATTTTGGCTGTCAGTCTGAAATCAATGCTAAAATGGAATAATTTTTGCAGTGTGTGAAATTTGAATTTTTAATGTAGCTTTTACAATTGTCCAGTCATATCACTACAGTGTCTGCATTGTGGCAGTTTATATCGATGTCCAGCACTAGAGCATCATGCCACTGTCATGCAGCATCATGCATGTCCCACGGTCCTGCGCCTGGCTAATCGGGTCCTAACATTAACCTCTTAGTGCTAAGTGCCAAGCGAGGTAGCTGTTAGTACCATTTTTATAAATCTTCAACATTCAGACTAGATTGAACTGACCAACTAACACATTTGAGGCAGATGCTCTAACAACTTATGCCACTGGATTGGTCTCAGAATGTCAAATAATGACTTGTTTATCTTATGTTCACATTTATGTAATAGATAATTTTCTAACAGTAAGAGAAAATAATTTTATAGTTTTTACAATGTACTGTTTTATTCGATGAACCACAAAAGGATGACTTTTATATGCATTGTGATTTGTACTAAATATTTATTTTGGTCTGTCTTAGATCTGAGGCATATAAGTCTAAAATATCTGGACACAAAATCAATTCTGACCTCTGGCGAATTTTGGCTGGAAATAAACTTGGGTCCAAAAGTGACGTTTTTCCCTCTATATTTTGTAGTGCAACTAGAAAATCCATATAATTTGGTATCATTGTAAAGCTACATCTGTCTACCTTTCTATACTACCATCTACTTTATTGTGTCATACATGACCATAACACTATAGAGCTCAGAAGTCAAGGCTACCACCTCCTACCTCTTAACACATGCCAGGGGTTAATGAGTTAATGAAAAGGCTTTTACCTTGAAAATTCTCCATTACATTAACTGCCCTCTACATAAAATGAAGTCCTTCATGCCATAAAGTTGATTTTCAATGAAGGCAGAATTCCTACATGCCATAAAAGGTTGTTTTCAATGGAGGCAAGAGTCCTGTATGTCATATGAGGTGATTTTCTATGGAGGCAGGAGTCACAGTGGTAAGTATGCTTGATGCCATTATGAGTAGCTTGACTCAAGACATGCAAAGAGTACACAATTCAGTCATACCATGTAAAAACCCAGGTTAGTTACTATGGTGTGTCACTAGGTAAAAGCACACTCCTCCAATCTCCTCAGCAGAAAAGGTCTATTTTTGATGCTGTGGATTTAAACCATCAAACCAATTCCACCTGTCATATTATTGTGCTGACATGCCTTTAAACCCTAATTAACAAAATGACACAACCAAGTTTATTTTCAAAACAAATCGTAGGCTCATGTACATTGAGTTTCTACAGGAAACCTATCCTAATAGTTGAGGTCAAATGACACATTCTTGTGCTATTGTTTAATTATGTGCACTAAGAAAGCAGCTGGTTTTATCTTTTAGCTATATTGTACATGCCACACTATTTGAAGTGACTCAGTCAAATAAAATATGACCTGGTACTTTTAATGTTTGGAAAAAGGAACATAGATTTCTTTTTTCCACAAATGTGCACCAGAAGTCATCTAAAATGTTTTTAAAATGTACAAAGTACTAAAACTTGCTGCAATGGTATAAAACTTTAATCAGGCCATCTACCATTATGTCTGTATACAAACATGCATGTAAAATGTCCCCTGTTGCAAAGGAAGTACCTGATAATTTGCAAACATAAAAATTTGAAACCAGAATTTAAACAATGTTTAGATGATTCACAAGAATGAGAAACTTAAAACCAAAATCAAACAAATATGTAACTAGAAACAAGAAAGGATGTCAAAGAGTACTAAGTGAAACGGAAAGTGCACATCAGTAAAGCCAGAAGAGTCAAAATTAAATTGTGTGTGTATGTGTGTGTATATGTATTGGTGTGTATGTGTGTGTATGTGTTGGTGTGTATGTGTGTGTGTATATGTATTGGTGTGTATGTGTGTGTATGTGTTGGTGTGTATGTGTGTGTGTATATGTATTGGTGTGTATGTGTGTGTATATGTATTGGTGTGTATGTGTGTGTGTATGTGTTGGTGTGTATGTGTGTATATGTATTGGTGTGTATGTGTGTGTATGTGTTGGTGTGTATGTGTGTGTGTATGTGTTGGTGTGTATGTGTGTGTGTATATGTATTGGTGGGTATGTGTGTGTATATGTATTGGTGGGTATGTGTGTGTGTATATGTATTGGTGTGAATGTGTGTATGTGTTGGTGTGTATGTGTGTGTGATTTTTAATGTAGCTTTAACAATTTTTCAGTCAGTGATGTCTAGCAGTTTCCTGATACAACAAGGCTCAGCAGTGGAATATTGCTTATTTCTGAGTCCATTCCAGTTGTGTGCTCCCCTTCTCTCAATCATGTAGGAACAGCTTGAAATCTGAACAAGTTTATTTTGAAGATGTGGTGACTTACCACCATATCAAATGAATTCACTGACACAAAGCACTAAAATATTGATTGATTTGTTAAGATATAGATGGGATAAAAACATTGAGATACTGGCAAAGATGAGTCTTCTGATGAGTAAATATTTTTTTTCTTTTGATATATATATATATATATATATATATA